ACAGCGAGAGGCTTGAGCGCAACGTGTGGCAGTTTCTGAGTGGCCGGTAGTTTTTTTGCCTTGGTGCTAACGTGCACGTAGTGAGCTCTGAAATGGGCTTGCGTGTCTCGGTTAGGTTTTTAGGAGGCAGAGCCGTCTCGCAGCGAGTTACCTGCAGCTGCTCCTCTCTGGTGAGGTTTTGGGTGATGCGAGATGCAGTGGAGCCAAGCAGCTCTCTCACAGCTTGACTGTGCTGGAAATCCCCCTAAAAAGAAACTTGTTAAAGCGCTTAATACAGTCCCTGCTGTGATCTGGTTGCCTAGTCTTATTGTCCCAAAGTTTCTGTAGTTAGATTAGCACGTAAGAGTAGTTTGATTCAAACCCTGGATCATTTTCACGTGCATCTTTGGCTTGGGCAGTTTGAAAAACTCTTGCACTCTTTCTGCTGATAGCATCAACTTTATTTACAAATTCTGATCCTGTTTAAGTTTTGTTGTGCTATTGAAGTTAGAGATAAAATAGATTATGCTCTGATAGCTGCTTACATGCCTCTCGTGTAGGACAGAATCGTAGCAAGTGGTTAATACCCTTGTCTGGGGCGATGGAGAACGTCAGTTTAGCTTCTTCCTTTACCACAGGCTTTTGATTATAACCTGGAGCCAAACTCCTCTTGATACTGTTAAATGAAAAATAAAATACTTTGTTTTAATGGTTAAGATAGAAGACCTCAAATGAGTTGGCCTGAGTGAGCATATCTTGAGTAAATTACCCACAAATCATTTATACACACTTTCTAACTGATTAAATCATAAAACTGATCTTGCTACTGTGTATTTAAAAAGAAACAATCACAAAAGTTTTTGCTTAAGTTTTGATGCTAAGTAACAAAAATATCAGTACATTCAAACTCCTTTTGATGCTTCAGAGGCATCTGAACTATTTTGCTAGTGTCCTTATGTGTTCTGTAAAAAACCCAATTACTGAAATTAGTCATTGTCTTCTCTCGTGGTGTTTCCAACAGGAGTGTCAGATGCTGCTTTAAGCATATTGGATTAAATCAAAACATACTTGTATACCTGGTAAATTTTGCAGGAGACTTAATAGTTGCTGACAGATCACTCTTGTGGAAGAATAGCTTATTTTAGTTCAAGTTCTTAGAAAAGACAAAGAAGATTGAATTTAAGAAGTCATAGTAATGAGAGACAACTCCATCCTGTCTGCTCCTGCTGTTTTTTGCTGAACCCTGCTACACTTTGTCAGAGAAGCTGTTCTGTTTTTTTCAGGTTACCTTTCTCTAGCCTCTTAGCCAGAAGTCTTAACAATCCCACTTCGTTAGCATCCCCTGTTTAATAAATAGAAGCTGGAAATTACATTTCCCAGTCTTTTGTGTGTAAAAAACAAACCAAAATAAAATAAATAAATTAAAAAAATTAAAAACAACAAACTAAAAAATCACACCAAAAACAAAACACAAACTGAAACATAGTTAAAAGAGAGGAGTTCCAAGGCAGAATCTGGAGTCCAGGTCAAAAATTGACATGTGCCAACTCCCCATACTGCTCTGATTCTCTAATGAGTATGTTTGTGTTGGGTTTATGTGGCAAGGTTTTGGTGGTGGGGGAGGCTGCTGCAGGGGTGGTTTCTGTGAGAAGATACCAAGATCTGTCCCCGTGTCGGCCAAAGCCAATTTCAGGCAGCTCCAGGTCTGACCCTGTGCTGCCTCGAGCTGAGTCAGTCATCAATGCTGGTGACACTTCTGTGATAATGTATTTGAGAAAGGGGAAAGACCTCTGTGCAGCAGCTATGAGGGAGGGGAGTGAGAAAAAATTCTGCAAACAGTAAGGTCAGAAGGAGGAAAGGGAGGATGCTGGAGCAGAGATTCCCCTGCAGCCTGGGGAGAAGATCATTGCAAAGCAGGTTCTCCCCCTGCAGCCCGTGGGAGGACCGTAGTGGAGCTCATATCTGCCCTGCAGCCTGTGTAGGATCCCACATTCAGAGCAGGTAGAGAAGCCCTGGAGCAAGCTGCAGCCTGTGGAGAGTAGGAGCAGGCTTCTGCCAGGACCTGTGGACCCATGGAGAGAGGAGTCCACGCTGGAGCATGTTTGCTGGCAGAACTTGTGACCCTGTGGGCAATCCACACTGGAGCAATCTGTTCCTGAAGGACTGCACTCTGTGGAAGGGGCCCACGTTGAAGCGGTTTGTGAAGAGCTGTAGTCTGTGAGAAGGGCTCATGTTGAAGAAGTCCATGAAACTGAAACAGGTTGCCAAGGGAAGCTTTGGATACCCCCTCCTGGGAATGTTGATGGCCAGGTTACATGGTCTAGGGGAAGGCGTCCCTGCCCATGGCAGGGGGGTTGGAACTAGATGATCTTTAAGGTCCCTTCTAACCCAAACCATTCTATGATTCTGTGAAAGTTAATATGTGAAAATGATAAATGAAGAAGGCATTAATTTTACACAGAGGCTATTACATTAATGGGGGAGTTTTGCTCATCCCCATGGAGATAATGTGCTGGCTTCCAGCTGATACTTTAAAGTAACTATACCGTGAAAGTCAGAGAAGCCAAGTAAAAGCATACAGTGTGAAACAAATGCTTTTATTTATTGAGAAGACCTAGCAGAATATAGAAGCCAGGTTGTACATTACTCTCAAGTGAGTCCCCTGCAAAAATTAGATAGCTCAGATGGTTTGGGGAGGATTTGATTGGGGGTTTTGTATATTTCCTGTCAGCTGAGCTATTTGGCCTGTAGTAATCTGCACATGACATATCATCTTCTCTGTGGAGGTTTGCACTGCAGTGTTGCAGAACACACAAGCTGACCGCTCTCCACTCATGCCATCCTCACTGCCATCTGTCCATTCATCTAGGGCCTGCTTGGTCTCCTGTTACAAGGTGCTTTAGCTTCTCTCATCTTTTAGGCAGTTAAATCACTGCAGCCACACCAGGTTCTTTCTGCTGTTTTCTCCACCACTGTAGCAATATATTAGCATTGGCAACACACCGTAATGTGGCGCTGAGGTGGCTTTTACCATATCTTTTGTATTCACTCTACATCTGGATAACTTCACTTTGGGCTCTCTATTCACGTGGCATGTTGCCATGTCAGTCTGGTTAGGCTTGTCAATAATACTAATGCCAAGCAGCAAGGAATTTGGGATAATGAATCCCGTCTGTGTAACACCAGATGCAATGTGTGGCCTTTAATGCAAATTTATTCTGTTTTTTTTCATTTGCTTAACTTCTATGTTGTCATTTTTGCTCATGCCAAAAAACACAGTCTCTGAACATGGAAGAACTCAGAATTCAGTCACTTGGAAACTGCCACTCCCATGAATTGTGTTACAGTGAGCATGTCAGGAAAGAGAAGCAAAACACATGGATACTCAGTGTCTTGTGGGAATGTCAGATCTTTAAACGAAGGAATCATGAAATACCAGAAAATAACCTCAGCCAATTGAAGTTGTGCTATTAGTTACATTTTTGGCTCTTGGCCAAGCAATCTGCTCACACTCAGTACCCAAAGAGTCCTTTCAGAAACGGTGTGTACTCTGATGGATGTTCGTTTCTGACACTTGGTTTCTTTCAACCCTTTAGCAGCTTTTGTTTGCTTTTTTAAAATGAGCTGGTCTGGCAGAAGAAATGGCTTGATCCTCAGTTAAGAATCAGCTAGAGGTGCCAAGAAGCAGGTATAAGGCCGCAGGGAACTTGATAAGTAGGTAGTAATTGGACTGTGTAGTATTTGATGTGCCTTCTCATAAGAGTTGTGCTTTATTCTAACCTTAAATTTTACTCACTTAGCTTTTGGATCAAGCCATGGCTACTGAATGGGTTGACGAGAAGTGTTTTGCACAGACTTCAGCACCACTTAAAATGTTGGGAAATGTCCAAACATAGACTGTTCTTTTTCAAGTTAGTTTGGTTACTCTTTACCTAATATTGGATGATGTGTATACAGTTATAACAAGGTTGACAATTTGATTCATTGTAGTCATTGCTACTTAGTTTCAAGAGCATAAAACAGAATTTGAAATTAAAATGGCTTTGAGATTTCCCTGGTTCCTGCTAGTACAGAGCTGCGTAATTGGGAGGTGGAGGAGTGCCTCCTGGGGAGGCAGTGTAGAAGCAATAGGTAGAAGAGGAAATACTTGCTGCTCTAGCAGCTGAGGTACATTTTAAAGCCAATGCAGTATCTTTTTTTTTCCCCAAAATAATTAAGACTCTGCTTTAAGAAAGCTTCCCCTCCTTCTCTCCCCCTAACTGAATGTAATTTAGTCAATGTTGCATGCAGCTGAACTGAAACTTGTATAAAGAATCAGAACATGCAGCTACATGAACAAAGGTCATTAATTTCACCTGTTGCCCAGAATGTTTAGTAAATGGAGATTACTTTTTTCTTTCTGGATCTAAACCTTTCTTTACTGCACAAATCAGCAGAGGTTTATTGAAAGTACACTAACTTGTCTGTTGTTGACTCACATACAACAAAAACATGTTTTGGATCTAGGGGAGGAGGAAGGAATGTATGTCTTCTCTGGCACATGAAGGCATATACTAATTTGATGTAAAACAATAAAAAGGAAATAAAAGCTATGCTTTCCTGCAACTTCATAATGACTATTTATCTGGGCTGTCTTTAGAAATAAACTTTTTTAAAGTCTTGCAACAATTTTATAGCTGATTGCTCTATTGGATACAATTTACCTCTTTTTCTCCTTTCAGCAGGAAAATGAGTGGTGGGTTGGCACCAAGCAAAAGCACTGTGTATGTGTCCAATTTACCCTTTGCTTTGACAAACAACGATCTATACAGGGTAAGGATTTAAGAGCTGCATTGTATAGATTAAACTCATTGAAAATAATTTTTAGTGTAAATACAATACTGATATATATCTCTTAGAAAAGTTTATATTGATAAATGTATTACTAATGAAATGCAATTGTTTATTGTTAAATCTTTTTATTTTGCTTTATATTTCAGATATTTTCAAAGTATGGGAAAGTTGTCAAGTAAGTGACCTGATATGGCCTGCTATTTTGTAACTTTCAATTTAAATATTTAATATCTTTGCCTCACTTGAAGTCTTGTGCTCTTTATAATTTAAGTGTGAATGTGGAACTATATTGAAGTCATCTTCATTTTTAATAAAGTATAAATCTAACTAACAAATGGAAGTTCCTGCAGTTATATGCCTAATGCAAGAATATTTGTGTTGGGAACAGGTTTTGCTAACCACTTCTTAAGAGCAAGTAGAATGTTGTTTTATACTAATAGTCTTTTCTCTGAAATAGTTGAAACAATATTATTCTAGTAAGTGGTGTTCTCCTTTCTCCAAACACCACCTGGGACACAAATGGATAAGTGTAAAAATGGGACCTTCTTCTTAAATGAACTAGGTGACATAATTGCCACAAACAGTTCTGACAATTGCAGTGTGAAATTATTCTCTTTGTGGTTCCAGGGGGGATTTGTTTGTATTAGTATTATATTTAAGATTAGACAAAAGGTTGCATAGTAACAGCTTTTACTGTATGGTGTATTCATGAACAGTACTTGTGAGTAATTGCCTCTGTGCTCAAATGATAGAAATAAAAGCCACATAAGGAATATGCTATTTTATTTAGTTTCTTTCATTTTTAATTGGTCAGAATAACAAGAGGCAATACTTCTGTTTTCAACTCTACACCAGCAAATACCACCTCTTGCCTTCTAGTACCTGCTGTAATAATCTGTGAGATACAGAGCTAAATTCAAAGTTTTTGAAGTCTCAAGAGTGTGTTTCAGGTGACAAATAAAAGGAAAAGCCAAACCACAACTTTAGAAAAATATATTTCTTAAATTGATCATGAGGTAAACTCCTATGTAGAGAGCTCTGGCAGACATGCAGTAACCAATACAGATGGGCAGCCACAGTCTTCATGGTTTCCAGTGTGGGGTGTATGACTTGTTTTAGTTGATTGCTGAACTGCCAATGTAGAAAACTCCTGAGCAAAGGTTGTAATAATGCTAGTGTTTAATATCCATTGAGTGGCCTGCTTGTTGTGAATTTTAACACTTCTGACCTCCCTGCAATTGTTTGGTGATGTACCTAGACTCTGTTTGTGGGTAGGGGTCTCCTACTGTCTTGGCTTTTAAACTTGTTTGATAGGAGGATGAGAACTGTATTAAGTACTTGCTGTATGATGCATTGCTTACTTTAAATATGTGGTAGCAACATTCTCTTTTTTTTTATTTTTCCTTTATTAAGAGTTTCTAGCATTTTATTTGCTTTTTTTAGTATCATAGACAACAGAAATGGTGATTCCAGATGTCTATGCAGAAGAAATCCTGTGCTTTGTCCTGTTTGAAAGTATCTAATTTAGAACTTGCAATTCTATCTGCGCAGTTACTGTTTTCCCCCACCTATATATTGTTTTGCAAAAAGCTCTCTTACTGATACCTAATTTTTCTTGATTTTTTTGTCTTGTCACTGCTAGAAGGTAAACCAAATGCAGACTCATAGAATACTGGGTGTAAAATACACCATAACTTTTTTTTTTTTTTTAATCTAGCAAAATCTGTTTCATCCCTTTGCAAACTGACTTGAATATAAACAGTGCAGATACTGTGAAATTCTACTGGTGTTCCCATTTCACTATGTAACTGAGGCTAGCAAGGATCACTTTTCCTGTTTGTAACTAGTTATTAATTCCCAGCAAAAATATTTTCAAATATTAGCTTGATTTCTGTAGAGTCTTTGTTCAGGAACTTTAAAATACTTTTCTGAATGCTTTGTGATATCATCTAGGTCAACTTTAACTTAATAAGTAACTTAAATAAGCTTTAATAGACCTTTTTTATTTGACTCAATAAAATCATGCTGACTTTACGTATTGCATTTTTAATGGAAATATATCCTGAATATTACTATTTCAACTCAGTTTGTTCACTAAGAAATCAGATTTTCTAAGGCTCCAAGAGATTGCTGACTTTTTGAAGATTTGCCACACTTGTTTTTTTTTCAATGCTTGTGTTACAACTGTAATGTAACTGGTACATTAAATATCCCAGTTAGAAGCCTGACAGTCGTTAGGGTTCCATTGGAACTTTTGGAAGAGTAACTTGGCAAAAGAATCAACGGAATTGTTCCAGAATCAATAATGTACACTTCAAATCAATGCACTCAATTGAATACATCCTTGTCCAAGAGGCTTTGGGAGAAAAACTGTTCTAAGCTCTATCATTCTTTGCAGGTGTTTGGGAAAAAATTGAGCTCTCTTTACTGACCTTTTATTTTATACAGTTTTTACTATGTAGATCATCTTATACAGCTTCTCTGGCAGGTCTTCTGCCTTGAAGCAGGGTTTGTTTGGGTTTGTTTGGAAAAAGGTTGTATTACTTGTTGCAATTTTGGCTTTCCTTGTGGCTGAACATTCTTCTGCTTGTGGTGGACGCAGGGAGTTTATTCCTGCTTTTCAACATATTCTTGTATTGTTCTGTCAGGTAAAATAATAAATGCATTCATGACCTGCTGGGATTCCAGTTGGAGATACCTGTAGAACACTACTGCATATATTTAGCTGAACCTCTTTAGCTGGTTAGTTACAGAAACATAGAATTCTCAGTTTGGATGCAGTTCAATACACTGTTTTTCAGCAATGATAGTGATAATCAAGATTATTCCTGAATTTCAATTTCAATTCCAGTATGTGTGGTTCCCTCAGTTACATTGTCTTCAAATCTGAAGAGTATGTTTTCTGTTCTTCCAGTCATCCAAAGGAATAAAGAATGATACTGGTCTCAGAAAAGCTCCACATACTTAATAAAATCATCTCTACTCCACCTGTAAGCACATGGCCTGGTTAGCTGTTCCTTTGAATTTCTGTTGAATGAGCCTTTCTATTTTTAAATAGGCTTTATTTTTCTTTTTGCTGTATAACAAAGCTATGATCCTACTGAGATCTTTAAGGAAAAAATATCTCTGAAATAATTTGAGTGTATCAATAATGTGGTTATATGTTTTCAGAGTTACTATTATGAAAGACAAAGACACCAGGAAAAGCAAAGGAGTTGCCTTTATTTTGTTTTTGGATAAAGAATCTGCACAAAACTGTTCACGGGCACTTAATAACAAACAGGTAAATTATGGAAAACTATTTTGGTAGGAGGATTGGGTGTACAGCCCCAAAATATTAACCTTTTTTTTTTTTCCAATATACTGTAGTTGTTTGGAAGAGTAATAAAAGCAAGTATTGCCATTGATAATGGGAGAGCAGCAGAATTCATTCGTAGGCGTAACTACTTTGATAAGTCTAAGTGTTATGAATGTGGGGTGAGTAAAACCAAAAATTAACAGCTGTATTCCAGCTTTTTTTTTTCTTTTGTTTGGCCATTGCTAATTCTGCAATGTTAGGAGAGTATTTTATGCTGATACTGTGAACTTGCATAGCAGTTTTACTGTTTTAAAGACTGATAACACGTTTTTTGTCTTTTATTTGGGATTTTGGAGGTGAGGGAAAATACATGCTTATAAGCACTGCTTAACATGCTGATGAGTAAATATAAAGCTGTGAAAGGAGGAAAACCTCCTCATCTTTGCTTCTGAATATCTGTTTTTCTCTGGTTTTGGAAGTTTATGATATAATTGGTGGTGAAATAAATCTTGGAAACAACTGGTTTTACACAGAATAAATGTCTTTTAAATTTTAGTAAATTCTTCACTTTTCCTTAATATATTAACTTAGGAGATTGACAGTTGGATAGTATTTAACTTCAAATGCAAACTAGATTTATATTCATAATGCTTTGAAGGCAAAAATGTTGACTCACTCCTATTTCTACAACTCTTAATGCTGAAGTTTATATTGTCTTGAAAAATACACTGCACTGTTGTGTGTTCAGCCATTGCAGCAAAGAAAATCTAGTTTGCTCACAGCTTGTCCTCAGTTTGCAGTTAAACTTGCATATCACTACCAATCTCTTCGTTTCCATGGCAAGCTTATAGAGGAATTTGTCTTCCGTGTACTAATTCAGCATTCCATTTATCTTACTAATTGCTTCCATTTTTTTGCCCTGTGAACTGTCTTACATTAGCTGTCCTCATGATATGTTACAACATATAGTTGTTTGTAATGGTTTCTGTTAAGCAATATTTCTTTTCCTCCAAGGAAGCAGGACACTTAAGTTATGCTTGTCCTAAAAATATGCTAGGAGAGCGGGAGCCACCAAAAAAAAAAGAAAAGAAGAAGAGAAAGAAAATAGTTGAGCCAGAAGAAATGTATGTACATTAATGTACACATTAATACTTCTTTCAGACAGCTTTTTTTATATTGAACACTTAAAATAAAGGTTGATGTATTTTTCTCTCTCTGCACAATGAAGTGAGGAGGAAGAAGAAAGTGAAGAAGAAGGAGAAGATCCTGCTCTGGATAGTCTCAGTCAAGCCATAGCTTTTCAGGTACAAAATTGAAGCATTGCATATTTATTATTTGTTATTATTTAAATGCAACTTTACTTTTTTAGCTGCTTTTCAAAATCTCTGAGATACAACTGTAGGTCTGTCTGCTCTGTAGCACACTGGGCGCTCTTGCCTGACGGTAGTTGGTGGCTATAGTTGGTTTCTTCATATTGAAGGCCTGTTCAAGGCCAGTTCCGTCATCAGGTCATCTTTCTTCTTTGTTTTTTTACTGTTTCACTGTGGCTGTATTTGTGCATGGCAGTCCTGTCCTTAAAGTTCTTCTGCCGCTTAGTTTCTTGTCATCCCTGTTGTGATGCTCTGTTAGGTTTCTGGTCCACAGATCCCTTTTTACTCAGTTAACTGAGCAGCCAGAAAAACAGTAATGTATAAATGACCAGGTATATCCTCTGCCCTTACACACTAGAATATCTTTGAACAACATCTATTTTTGGAGCACTTCCTTTTGCCTAATACAGTCCATTGCCATCTCTAGTAGACCTCTTCTCTCAAAACATATTTAAGGCGTTTTTTTTGTTCTGTAGATAGGTAGTCTGACACCTGTATTACTGTCTTCTTTAATACTTCTTTAGAGGCTTTTGCTTCACTACACAGAGTAAGCCTGACCTGCTGTTCAAATTTCATGGCTCCCTAGTCTTCAGGTGTCCCCTGTGTGCCCCTATCTAACAAAAAAAATGCCCTCAGAGTGTCTAAGATAACTTTGTCTTGAATAGGACTGTAATGAGTGCAAAACTTCTTCATAACATAGTTGAAAAATTATGCAAATATGCACAATTATCCACAAAAGCACCCCAAGGGAACTCCCCAATTGAAAGCAAAACCTCTAAATGTTAAAAGGCTAGAAAATATTCCCATTTCTCTCTCCATCCAAAGATAATAACTAGGATAGCAAGTTTCCCAGTAAAAACAGGAAGCATCTAATTAATCCTTTAGTTGAATAACCTTTACATCCCTGAAGACATTAGTTTTTTGAATGAATGACTGCAAAAGACAACAGGTAGAAGACTTGTTAGTGGAACTAAGCTGATTCAATAATGTCAGTTTAAAGTGTGTAGCATTTGTTTCTTCAGACCTAAGCTGCTCTGTAGTTCTACAGGTTTGTCAGGTGCTAAGTTCTTCCCTTGGAAAATACAGGGTACTCCATGTGGCCTGCATTGGTGCAGAAGACTTACTGTTTGCGTGTGAGAACTACTTTCAGAATTATTTTCTACTGCATTCATCACAGTTTGTCTGGAAATGGAGATAAATCCTTTGAATTCTTTAAATTGTTTAATAATTAAATTATATTAATAATTAGCATTACTATTTGTAATGCATCTTAATTTTTCTTAGTCCCAGCTAATACTTTTCCTTTTCTCTTTAGCAAGCCAAAATTGAAGAAGAGCAACAAAGATGGACACAGACTGCAGGGGAATCTTCAACTTCAGATGATTCAAAGCGGCCGCGGATTAAGAAAAGTGCTTATTTCAGTGATGAGGAAGAACTTAGTGATTGAAATAATACTGTTTTATATGTGATATATATATAGTGTACATTTTGTAAAGTGCTACAAAATTATCAGTAATATAAGTTTGTCTCAGTGTTGAAGACTCTGAGGCTCGTGTTGAAGTTCTGCCCTGCCCCTCAAATCGTCCACTTTCATGATCTCTCTCTCAAAATTTTACCCTTGAAGGCAACTTCTTGAAAACAAGGTGTTTCTACACTTAAATCCAGAAAAAATATTGCGAGGATGCTTCTTGTGGTTAGTATCTAGACCCAAGTGAAATTTTTCATAAGAGAATCTCCTAAGATTTTTTTTTTCTTGTAAGAGGAGTTCCTCTTAGGAGCACTCAGCACCAGTGATGCTTTATGTATTGCTCTGTTTATTGCCTGTTTGGAAGCAGTGCTTTGGTAGTACTAGTGGTATGTGAATCTTGCACTAGCTCCTCTGTATAGGATTAAATTTCAGCCTAAGCATTGTACTAATTTTTTAACTCTTCATCCAGTAAGATAATAAATTTATAAGTCACATATGCTTGTTCTGTGAAATAATTTTAGACTGGAAAATATATCTGTCTGTTTTCCAAAAGGGTATTAAGGTGTTGATCTCTGGTCTTAAGTACAGTTTTAGTTACTTGTACATTTTACAGTATTATGTAGCCTATGTACAATACAGGCTTCATAAGAGATGCAAGTTATAAGTTTTGTGGTGATTAGTTCAGTCTTGAAATTTTCATACTCACTATTTTTTTAAGTGGTAGTTCTGTTGGTCTTGCATTAAAATTGAGAATGGCCACATGTTTTAAAACAGAATGTGCATATGTTTTAATATGCTGGAATCTGATATTGAAAGTCCCTTGTTGTGATACGGGCTTATACTGCACTGTTTGTCCTGCAGTTTGGGTGCCTAACATGATAGCCATGTTTATGCACAGGCTTTTAAATATATTTGTGTCTAATATCAATCACAGTCCTATCTTCTCAGGCATCTGAACATGCTGGCAAAATTCAGAGGGCATAGAGTTTCCCACATGCTTAAAAATCAGCTTTCGTATATACTTGGAACAGTTAAGGGCTTTAAGCAAAGTGTGATGGCACCTATTTTGTGTCTAAAGCTATTCAGATCTTTCTAAATAGTCTCTATCCTTAAAGCTCTGTAGGGTTCTAGTCACTTTCTCCTGAAATGCCTCATAGACACATTAGGAGAACAGTATGAAGCTTTGTAGCAGTGATCACTCCCAAAACCACAGGCACTTGGTGATAGTGGTAACCCTTTTATGTTGGCCACTTTGTGTAGTCAAATGTTTTTCTTTTTTAGAAGGCACAATATAAAACCCATTAACACTTTCACACTTGGAAAAAGAGACCAGCTGGCCTCTGTTTCTATTTTCAGCTCTGGCTGTTACTCATCAGGACTTGGTTTTCTTCCAAATATAGATAATGTAAACCCAAATATACTATTACATATTCATAATACTAATTTACAGTCAAATATGTAACTGAGTACAAAGAAAAGACATATGCAATCTAAGGTAACATAAAGCATTCACATTCAGAAGGTGATTCTGAGGTCTTTTGTTGCTACTTTCACAAGGATTTAGGAACAAGAATAGGGAAATAAAATGAAAGATTTTTTTCTGTACTAACTACTGAAGCCACAGAGCAGGGAGGAATATTAGGCTTTATACAGAGGAAAGTCTTGGACTCAGTAATCCAAAGGATGTTTTTAGGACTGACTTTGTGACTTTCTGCTGAAAGCACTATATATTCAGGATGGTTAAACCTGAAGCTTCCTTTACTGAATTTCAGAAAGATCTTTTGATACTGAGTAGCCAAGTGCTGAAGTGCTGGGTGTAACTTACTGTTAATAGATACAAATCGCTGTACATCACGTGTATAATAATGAAGAGTGGAGAGTTCTAAACTCTACTTAGGAATAAAATCTTGCTGTCAGCATGCTTCTTTGAAAATGCTAGGTTAGGGCTCAGTGGCATTAAAAAAAAAAAAAAGAAAGTGGAGAACAAAACAAACAAATATTACACTATAATTTAAAATCAGGGTTTACCTTCTTTTCCAATACTATGTTCAATGTTGTTTACCAAAAAAAAGATCCAAAAGCTGAAATGCAAGAGAGGACCAGCTTGACATTGTCCATGACTTTGATTTGGGTTCAGGCAGCATGTTTCCAACTTTTATTTCATTACACTGTGTAATGTAGTAGTGAAACTCACTGCTGTGAGACTTTTCTTAATGTTATAGGGACAAAAGGATTAGACTTATTTGTTGAACATGATAGGTGTTTTAAATGTTAGCTTAAATACAGTCTCCACTCAGAAATATCCTAAATTACTCACTACCTGTTAATATACAGATACTTAGAGTCTAGAAATGTTTTATTCTTATGCACTTCACTATTTCATATTTGCTATTGGTGTTTTGCCAGAAAGAATAGAAACACAACTGACCTTTGTTCTGACCTAGTATAGTACTTCTTAAAGAGTTCCAGTAGCTGCAGCATGTTGATGTATCTTTCTACTCTGCTGCTTCTACCTCACTGCCTCCCTGCAGGATTTGCTTTTGTCAGCATGAAGCAGCAGCTCAGTCCAGACTATTAGATCTGACCCAGTGGGTGTTCCTCCATGCTCTTTTGTTCCAAACATAAAGTCACTTGAGGGTGGTGACAATGGAAAAGAAACAGATAAAAATGAGGCTGCTTCTGTGCAGAATTGCATGGAGAATTCCTGATTTTAAATCATCTTCCTTTAACATCTTCCTTTTCTTAACTCTATTTGAACTTCTATTGATTAGCAGTGCTTACGGTTTTTGGCTTAGAGTCAGAACAAAGAAGAAAGCATCTAGTGCCTAAAATAGGACTTTGAAGGAGTAGGATTTGGGGACTTCAGTCTCCTGCATAATTCTAAGTTTCCATTCTTTGTTGGCAAGATAATGAAGCATCTCTAGGTAAGAAATTCAGAACACTAGCATTAGATTAATCATTAACTTAGATAACATGAGTACCTGTCCTGCTTGCTGAAATCCAAAATTGCTGTCTGCAGGAACCTCTAATGCAGCTACTTAATTCTGGAAAAAAGGCCCAAACTTGTCAACCAGGTCCCTTTTCAATCTTTGAACATCAGGGATTTGCTCCTGTTCATGCCCAACCTCACCTACTCCAAGCAGCGAGGCTTCAGTTTTCCGAATGAGTCTGATCAGTGTTTTAAAGAGGTAGGTGGAGTGTTAACTAGGCTCCTGATTTAAATCAAGCCAATACGGTGCAATTAGTTTTCAAATCATGAGACAGCGTGATGCTTTTGTCAGAGTTTGATGTCTTAAATCAGCGGCTCAGGAAGCAGAAAACAGCTTTGGTGGCTGCATGGCTCTGGGCCAGACAGATGAGGCTGTGTAGCCACGTTATCAAAAGAGAAAAGAATAAAACCCACCTTGTAGAACACCTTCCTGTTACTGCTAAAAAAGCCACAGAGGTTTGTGGGTGTGTGTGTTTTTAGTTTCTTTTGACAACTTAGCTTAGACTAGCAGAGTGAATGCTGGGTTTAGAGGATGTGTAACGTGGCTCTGATTATGTAGAGTTATTTACATTAAGTGGCAGACAGCTTTTTATTTTAATGATGTTAAAAACTTGGATCATTCTGCAAACATCCACAAGCTACATTTTGTAGTTCATATTTTCAAAACAGCTTGAAAATTGTCAAAATAATGTTTGGGGACATCTTGTCCATTGAAATGGCTAGCCAAGTAGTGTCTCAAAACCCACTAGGAAATTACTTTTATCTGTCCATGGGGTTATGGAAGGGGGATGAGGATGATAAGTTTAACTGATTGTAAGTGGTATTACTCATACTGTGCCTGTGCAGCACTTGTTAAACCATCGCAGCTATGAGACACTGGAATAATTTTAGTCCATGTTTAGCAGGCTCCCTCTATGTTCTTGGCATATTCAGGTTACTACTCTCAGCTGAGCAATAGAAGGGCTGTAAATATAAAGCACTATGTGCAACTAAATAGGTGATGTCTGGAACAAATTGTAAACACTGGCTTCTAGGTCACTGCGTTCTCCTGGATAGCCCTTTTTTAATCTGCAGAGATGACTTACTGTAGCAAGGGAAGGTGAGCTGTACATGCTGTTTTGACTGTAGTCTTTTGAGGCACAAAATATTGGAGTGCTCAGAAAAGCTAGATGAAAATGTGATATTTAAAAATTAGATTTACTAAGTACTACTATGAACAATTAGAAGTAACTAGCATAGAGACCTCTTGGTTTCCACTTTCTGTTCTATTTGCCATCTGCAGTGTCAGTATGATAACATGCCATCACAATTGCACCATTGCTCTTCTATAAAAATATTGCAAATTGTCCTCTTCTAGATGTGTTATTTTAAAATAACTGGTATTGGATAGCTGATTGCTTCTTTTTAATATAGGTTACAAAATTAGTTGTCCTTAAAATGTTCTTACGAAACAGCTTTGTTCATCTTACAGGGTGAGTTTTTCCTGTAGCTGTTGATGGCAATATTAAAGATTACTATGCTGTTCCTTCTCTAGAGAAAAAGGTGTAAAGTGAAGGGTTTAGTTACTCTCAATGTAGATGATATTGTGTTTTGTATCAATCCTGGTGTCTGTAAAAAGTATCCTAGAAGAGATAAGCTGAGGAGGTTCTGGGTGTGAAAGAAAGCAATATTTTTTAAGGTGAAGTATTGTAGAGGTTTGGGAAAAAATCACTGCCAGGCTAACCCTGACCCTGCTGTGCATTCAGACAGACAAGATATGTGCTTATACAAGTACTTACTGGATGTCATAAGTAATGCAGCAAGCAAAGAGTTACGGAAACTGTGGCAGTAAAAATGCGATGAAAGCGTGTGTGAAAAATCTAACCAACCCAGAGAGGCAACGTAGGTCACAGTGGCTTGAAGAAATACCACAGTCACTAATGTGAGAACCTTCCTGACTGATTAATAGGATGCTCCAGAGAATCAAATTCGACTCTGAGATTATGAGCCATCAAAGGCAACAGCCAGAATCCTATGCTAAGATGAGCTGATACATGGAAATGCCATTTTATCAAGATACAGTTAAAGAAAATTAGAAGGCATCCATATTTAGATACTGCATCAAGCTTGTTGCAGTACAGCAAAAACTGTCACTTGGTTGCAGGAGTAAAGATTCATTGTTGGAACTGCATATGTGGTGACA